CCCCTGCCACCCGAGCAGCTCCCCGGTGACGGTCCTGCCTCTGATCAACCGCACACCATCGCCCCACGGCTCCTGGGAGATGGGGAGGGCCCCAGGCAGGGCCTCGCCCTCGTACAGCCCCCGCAGCAGGTAAGCCTGGCTCGCCGGCTGGGTCCCGGGCCGGGGGGCGGCCCCACCTAGAGCGGGAAAGGCAGTTGAGACCCGATGGCTCCAGGGGAGGAGACACGAGCCAGGCTGGCACCGGGGTCCATTTGGGGCAGAGGGGCATTGGCAGGGCCAGGCCGGAGCCGATGGGAGAATGAAGGGGCAGGGGGAGAGGAGAGTCACCTCGGCCGGGCAGCAAGGGGGCTGTAGCTCGAGACTGAGGGGCATTGTGGGATCTGAGGCCGGGGGGCTGGGAGGTTGAGGTGGGGCGGGTGTGGGGGTGCACAGCCTGAGTGGCGGGGAGACTGGGGCCGGGGCAGGTGGGTGGGGCATGTTGGGCCAGAGCTGGTCTCTGTCCCACCCCATGGTATTCCAGTCCTGGCCGACAGCCCCCACCGCAGCCCGGACCCATTGCTCCGCCCAGCTCTGCCAAGGGGCCACGCAGGCTGGGCCCAGGTTCTGGGGGAGGGGCGAAGGGAGCCAAACCCTGGAGTAGCCGAGCATGGGGCAGGGCTCCCTTAGACTGTGGCTGAGAGGGGGTGTGGGGTGTGGAGGGCCCCTGTAGGTTGGGAAATCCCTGGCCAGCGACTCCAGACCCTGGCCGGGGGGCAAGCAAGGGTTAACTCAGCTGCTCCAGGTGTGCGTGGGAGCGGGCAGGGCAGGGCTCACCTGGGCAGGGTGCGTCAGCGTCACAGGCCACGTAAGGAGCTGGAGCCTGAGCCCGCAGAGACAGAAGGGGCAGCTGGAGGGCCCTGGGGTAGGTCGGTGTACGGGGGAGGGGGAGTCCCCCGGGGAGCTGGCCCCATGTATGGATGGAGGGCCCGGCTGAGGAGTGGCCCCGGGGTTCCCTGGTGGAGGAAGTGTGGGCGGGACGAGCACAGGGCTGGCTCTGTCATCGGAGCTCTGCTGCAGGGGTCCCTCCGCCCTTGGGGTGGGGCCTGATCCTGACTGGGGTCAAGGCCGGGGAGGGGGATCCTCCCTAGGGATGGGGGCACTGGGGATTAGGGGGTAACAGTCCCCTCTGAGTCCCTGAGCCAGCATGCTGGGGAGAGGGGGTGGATTGTCTACACCCTGCCTGCGGCCTGTTGCTGCTCCCTGGGCACAAAGGGGCGTCCCCTTGTCGGGACGGGACGAGCCCCCGTCTTTCTGAGGAGCTGCATGCGGCGGGGTAGCGGGGCTGACTGGCCGGCATCTTGCCTCGTGCTGGGTGCCTGGGGCTGGGCCCGGCTGGCAGCGCCGGGCTCTCCAGAGGGGCTGCTACCCACCAGCGTCCTGCTCTCTCTGCAGCCTGGACTCGGAGTCAGCCATGCGGCGCCTGGAGGAGGACTCCGAGGTCTACAAGATGATGCAGGAGAACCGGGAGGTGCGGGCTGCGCCACGGCAGTCCAGCACCTTCCGCATGCTCCAGGTGGCTCTGGAGAGTGACGGGAGAGGTGAGCCAGGCGGGAGCCGAAGGGGGAAGAGAAGGGAGCCGGCAGGGGTCTGGAAAAGGAGAGCGGAGGGGCCGGGAAGAGGGCGGGGTGTGCTGGCCTCCAGGATAGGGGTGGCTCCCTGGTTGGAAGGCTCGGGGTGAGGGGATTAGTCTTGGGATCTTGGGGAGGGTCTGTGGACAGGGGAGGGCTGCCAAGGTCTGAGGTCCCCCTTGTTCTCCTCTTCAGATGGCACCACAGCCCCCTTCCCCAGCCAGCTGTCCCCCAGCGCCCACAAGCCGGTCGCCAGCTCCGTGGCCCAGAAGCTGCACGTGTGTGAGAAGTGCGACACCAGCATCAGGTGAGTGTGGCCAGCGCAGGGCGGAGAAGCTGGCGTTACCTGGTCCTTCCAACCCCCAATGCCAGCTCCCGCAGGCAAGGCGTCCTCGGGAGGGTGTCTGTCTGGTGGGCAGGGCCAGGTTCCTGGCTCCCAGGCCTGGCCAGATGGGGTGCAGCCTGGCTCCCCCCTCCCTTCCCGGGGGGAGAGGGGGGCAGGAATGATGGTGGCTGAACACAAAGCTGATGCCCATACAGTGATGGGACAGCGGGACCCGGGTTTCCGTCTCTGAGGCAGAGCAGGGCCAGGACGTGCAAAGGATGTGGAGGGTGAAGCCCCGGTTTCCCCATCTGTGCAGGCTTCATGAATGTTGATGGCTGCATCACTGGAACAGTCTTTTCTGGGCCCTGGGGCAGGCTAGCTTCAGGGACCTTATAGCTAGAGCCCATGCGCAGTTACTACCCCTTAGCCCTAGAAGTACAGCTACATGGGGCGGGGGTTGGCTGCATTGGCCCCAGGTGCAACCCTGGAGGAGGCCACATGGCCGCCTGTCTCATGCATGATTTCGATACTGGCATAGAGAATGTGCGGATGGTACCCAGCTTGGGGGAGGGGGGCGGTTTACAAGTGCTTTGGAGGATGGGTCATAAATCAAAGTGACCTGGACAGACTAGAGAAATGGTCAGAGGTCAATAGGATGAAGTTCAATAAGGACAAATGCAAAGTCCTTCACTTAGGGAGGAACATGCTGTTTCACACGCACAGAACGGGAAGCGACTGTCTAGGAAGGAGTCCGGCAGAAAGGGATCTAGGGGTCACGGTGGACCACATGCTAAATGAGTCAACTGTGTGACACTGTTGCAAAAAAAGCAAACCTCCTTCTGGGAGGCATTAGCAGAAGTGTTGAGCAAGACAGGAGGTCCAGGGAAGAGCAACAAAAAAGGTTCAAGGTCTAGAAAACATGATCTACGCGGGAAGACTGACAGAACTGGGCTTGTTTAGTTTGGAGAAGAGAAGACTGAGAAGGGACAGAGCAGCTTTCCAAGTACCTAACAGGTTGCTACAAGGAGGAGGGAGAAAAATTGTTCTCCTTGACCGCTGGGGATAGGACAAGAAATTGCAGCAAGGGAGGTTTAGGTTGGACATGAGGAAAAACTTCCTGCCAGGGTGGTGAAACGCCGGAATAAGTTGCCTAGGGAGGCTGTGGAGTCTCCATCACTGGAGATGTTGAAGAGCAGGTTACAGACACCTGTCAGGGATGATCTGTATGGTGCTTGGTCAGGCAACTGGACTTGATGACCTCGAGGTCCCTTCCAGCTCTAGCTGCGCCCAGACTCCCAGGACTACTCTCCCCTTGGGCTGTTTGCTGAAGCAGAGGGAGCAGCTCTGGGCAGGTGGGCCTGGGGCTGCCATGGTGAGGGGCCTGGGGCCGGCACTGAGTGGAAGGGGGCGGGGGGTCCCCGGGCCCCCCGGGG